TTTTTCTGCTCAACTTAGCCAGAAAGAGGTTTTGTTGCATATCATCAAACACTCTTAAGTGACCCGAATTTTCCTTTTGCTTAAGTGAAAGGGATGTTTTAAGCCAATCTGACTAAGGGAATTAGTTGGGGCATATCACACTGCAGAGTCCATTTTTAAATGTGCTGCTCTACTGTATTCTTTTATTCCTGTATTTGAGACTAAATCCAAGTTGTTACATCTTTATTTTGGGATGTTTGAAAGTTCCACATCTATCCCAAGATTGAGCCATCTTAAATGAGCAGCAACGCATTTCATAGCTTCCTTATCCCACATGACTAAAGATTTAAACAAAATTCAGTCAATAAAAGATGTCGTAGGAGCAGATGAGTCCAGAAAGGTCCCTCTCTTTTAAGTAATCTACTTACACTTGCCTGATGTTTTACTCAGCAAGTTAGTGAAAGACAGGAGGACCCTGAACGAGGTGGGCCGGCACAGTCACTGTCACAGTGGGCCTGGGTGTGGCAGAGATTGTGAGGATGGCACCGGGTAGGACAAGGTGCAGATCTGCTGCTGTTCATAGGGTCTCTATGAGCAGTGGCACCTAACAACATTTAGTGCTCTATGTGTGTGTATATATATATATGTGTGTGCATTCATTCATGCACGCATTATATATCATAGGTTGTTGCTGTTGTTAAGTGCCATCAAGTCGTAGACCACTGATAGCGACCCTATGAACAAAAGACCTGAGCACTGGTCATAGAGTTTCCGGAGGCAAGCTATTCCAGAAGTGGATGCCACTCCTGCTTCCAAGCTTGTTTTAATCAGGGAGCTCCACCAAACACTGTCCACCATAGGTAACTATTATCACATCTGACACATCAGTGTCACAGTGTTTAACATCACAGCAACCACAAGTTACCTCTGTACAGCAATGCACAGACCAGTGCTATACCACTCAGAAGAATGTTTGACAAAAAACAATTTAAACCAGGCCTGTGGGCCATAGATTAAAATCACCTACCTTGGGCTTGGCAGCGTAACTTTCTGTTCTAGCTCTATGTTGTTGTTGTTATTGTTGTTGAGTCGTAGATGACTCACAACAACCCTATGAACGAAAGACCTGAGCACTGCTCATAGTTTCCGGAGGCAAGCCATTTCAGAAGCGGATGCCACTCCTGCTTCGAACCTGGTTTTAATCTGGAAGCTCCACCAAACAGTGTCCACATCGCATCTGACACATCAGTGTCACAGTACAGGTATCATTATCTTTGAAAATTATACACTACTACAAAATGAAACATTAAAAAATAAACTGTATGTGCTATTCAAATTTCTGCACTTAGCATTTTCCAAATCCTGCCTACTATGTCAGCTCTTGGTATTTATCAAAACTTTCTACAGGAAACCAAGAACTGTTACTGTTAATGTGCTCTCTCTCCTCCTATTTACTTTGGGGAAAGACCTCTTATCGTAAAAGAGTAGAAGCGGATGGTTCAGGAAGAACACAACAGGTATGGAGGTAAGAAGGGACCGTACGGTGACAGCTGAGCAGACATTTGGGAGATGTGTGCACAAGCTAAAGAAAACAAGGAGATAAGACCAGATTAGGCCAGCGGTAGAGAGACGTCAGGAGGGGAGCTCAAGGCTGGAGAAAGGTCAGATTTTCCTCTGCGTATTCTTAATAAAATGTCAGTGTCTACAAGGTAATACCACAGGTGGGTATAAAAGCATTCCAGGACAGAGCCAAACAGACTAAATAAAGTCAAGAAAAAACACAAAGGAGCAGCCATAATGGAGGGAACAACAATCTGCTCTTTTAACCTATAAAGAATAGTCAGTAGCAAATAAGAATGTCCAATTAATTTTGAATCTCATAAAGATTGCTGCTTCAATCCTCATTTTCAAATAGTGTGCTTCTAGATCTTTGGTCAATAAACTCTGGTGGTGTAGGGCGTTAAGTGTTGGGCTTCCAACTGAAAAGTCAGTGATCAGACCCCCCCCCCCCCCAGCTGTGCTGCAAGGGAGCACCGGAAGCCTAGTGGTAAGGAGCTGTGCTGCAATACCGAAGGCACAAAGTTCAAATCCACCAGATGCTCTGTGGGAGAAAGATGGGCAATCTCCTCCCAGGTGATTAACTGCCTCTGAAAAGCCCCCGGGGGGATCTGTTCTGGGTCGATTCTGACTCAGTTACACACAACAACAGCTGCTTTGCAGAACAAAGATGCAGCACTACTTCTGTAAAGACATACAGCCTCAGAAAGCTGATGGGTCAGTTCTACTCTGTCCTCTAGGGTTGCTGTGGGAGAGGTGACCCACAGCACCAAAACCTCAACACCCCACATCCAGAATCAGGGCAAAGTACCCAGCGTGCCCATCACAGATCGTGGCCAAAGCAAATTCTCTCTTCTGTCAAGCCTCCACCTCCAAACTATCCACACTAAATCAGAGACCAGTCCTGTAGTGTCAAAAATTAACAGAGAATTGAAAATACTGTCTGATTTCTGTCTATTTTTACATTTGGAATGCACTTTCACATTATTACCATTTGAATAAAATACCTGTATATTGTAATCTTTGTGTTAGCTTTTTAAAGTGAGCATACCAGTTCATATTCCTTTTATGATTCTTATTTACTTTTAGACATGTTAAGAGCCTGGAGGAATAGTGCATTAGGTGCTGGGCTAATAACCAGAAGTCAGCAGTTCAAATGCACACACCGCTCTGTGAGAGAAAGATACAGTCATCTCCTACAAAGATCCACAGTCTCAGAAACCCAGTGGAAGGCAGTAAGGGCTTGGAATTAACTACCCTGACTTCTAGCGACCTTCCACTGGGTTTCTGAGGCAGTGTACTCATCTGTTAGATTTATAGGTACTTCTGGGAAGGAAGATTCAAGAATACCGATTATGTGGGACATGACTGACAAGAATAAAAGAAAGCGAAGAGGTCAATTAAACAAAAGCCAGGAAAAAGAAATATTTTGAGTTCCATCTCTGTGGCAAGATCCTAGAAAGTAAAAAAAAAAGTTCAAAAAACGACAAGAGAAAGTAAAGTGCAGGAAAGGGACAGGAGTATATACAGAAGGTTTACATGTTTACAAATGTATTTCTTCTTTTGCTTTTTGCTTTCAGTGCTAAAATAAGGTGGGGTTCACAGCAGTCACAGAGCAGTCTGAAAAATGTACCATGTCTATCTTTGATATGCTGTGTGAAAACTCTTCTTCCCTCCAGGCCTTAATGTACACATATCCTTAATGTACTATCACCTGTATAGGAAAAGACATTTCTTTGGCTTCAAGATTATGGGTTTTGTTTTTTTTAAAGAAAAATATTTTTTCAAAAGACTTTTCAGGAAAAAGAAAAGTAGCAAATTGCTAAAATAATCATTTAACAAGTGTGGCCCAATAATTAATGACCATTGAGAAATTTGTCTCTCTCATAATCATAACAGGCAATAAAACCCAATCCAATAAGAAATCACTGATACTTTTGCACTTAGCATGGGTTTTTTTTTAATGGTGTAATAGAAGGTTAAGATAGGCAAGGGCTTCATAATTCATAAAAAGTTTAAAACAATTCCCTTAAGTAAGTGCGTAGCACATTCAGCAAGCCTGGAAAATAAGAGGTCATCTTGAGAACAATAAACTCTGATTGTTTACTTAGGGAAAGTCCCATAGAGACTCTTAGTATTATTGTTACAAAGTATAATTATGAATTTTTTGGATTATGTATTTCTTGAGTCAATGTTCCTGATATTAAGAGTATTAATACATTGACACAAAGTAAGCAGTCGATATGCAAACATAATTAGCACAAATTAAGCTCTTCATAAACACCTGAATGAATAAATAATTGTGTGCGCAAGTGATCAGAGAGCTAGGTCTAGCTCTGAACTCCACTGAGACAGAACTTTTCCTATTATTGATACTCCAGGAAGACCAGCTCTCTAGTACACTCTGAAATGAATATTTTATGATATATATTTATTAAATATTGTTTTAAAAGCTTTTAGCAATTAAAGAGCCAAGAACCATTTTTTAAGTTTATGTGCCTTTTAAAATAGCCACAAGAGGGCAGTATTCTATAAGAAATAAGTTTAAGGCACTCTAGTCCCTTGAAAGCATTTATTTGTGCAATAATAAATATTTTAGGTTTAATGTTACCTATTATGCATAATTTTTTTTAGTATCACATGTCAAATCGAGTGGACTCATCAAATCTTTAAGGATTCAACCTAATGATCACATACCTACAATTCACAAATTTACTGCCTTTGAGTCAATTCTGACTTGTAGCAAACTGAGTGGACTCATCAAATCTTTAAGGATTCAACCAAAATTGGAAATCATAATGATCACATATCTACAATTCACAAATTTACTGCCTTTGAGTCA